TTCTTTGATGTTTTTCTTTATGTGGATAGATGGCAGGGTAATCAACTAGACTAGCGTACTCTAGTGTGAATGTTTGGTACTAGCTAGGCGCATCGCGTCGTAATTTTATCACTGTTTAGTTTTACTTAGTATATTATAAGATGTCAGCAGGTGATACTTTAATGGAGGTTTGATATCGCTTTTAAAAAATTAATTAGGTACATTTCGTACTGCTATATTTCTATTCCGTGATATTAACATTTCGTTTGTGTCTTTTTTGTTATTTTATATATTCATAACTTAGAAATAGGTATTTTTTTAGCTTTAGTTTCAGCTGGGTTCTACCTTTCCAGATGTTTAAGACGAAGAGGTAGGTCTCGAATGGACGAATAGGTAGCTATTCAAGAGTGATGTAATATGAGACAATCGATTACGAAGAATCGAAATAGCCTATATAGTGCACTAAGAATGCATAGGTAACGTAAAAATAAGTTAGTCTAGATATTCAAGTTCCAGGATTCATAATAAGATCAGAACTGTAATGATAAGGAAACCCCCCTCCCGCTCTACTCGGGACACAAGAGACGATGGCACTTGGCGACAAGGAGCAAGCGCCTCTCAGCCTTGACCGAGTGCAGCGTTACATAATGCAAGCCACAGACTACGATATTGTCTACGAGTAGGTACAGTTGTGAACACTTGATGCTAGTCGCACTGAGGAACACGGTGAGGGAAATAGGTTACTTAAGTTTAGAGGACATTCGTCTCGATTGTTCTAAATTATGAAACAAAATATGATATCATAGCTTTATGAATAGGTCGCTCCTGAAATCATAAATATTATCACTTGTCAATTAAGTAGGTTAGCTAAGATGCAATTTATGTGAATTATAATAATGAAGGTTCCTATTCAACAGGTTCCTAGTTCTAGGACTGATTCTGGACTATGGCATTTATTCAGAGTTTCGTAATTAAAATTCTGAGTTTTACGTAACTACAGTACCTACTACGTACGTACTAACGTAACTACAGTAACATAACGTAAATGACTACAGTAGGTATAGGCACTATATGTATACTATATGTATAGCTATATTTTAAGTTTAAACCTAAAGGATGACATTGAAGTCGGAATCTGCTGCAGGCACTAAATAGCACTAGGCAACGTATGTCATAGACATATAGGTAGGTATTGTCCGTTCTAGTTTCTGTGTGATTCATATAGGTAGGTAACTGCGGTTAGACAGAATATACACGAATTACTAACATTCCGCGATGTCTGAAGGCCAAAGCTACCGAAATAGCGAGTTGTGCTATATTCGCGCTCGTAAATCTATCATTTATCCCTGTATAATTTTGCGAATATGCATCACTTGTCATATCCCATTTGAATATGTTACAAAAGATGTAAATCTTGAGTGAAATGACTACGTTTTCCCGTCTGCAGGAACTAATCTAGGAGCACTGCAGCGTTGCCATGACAACGCGCGGCAACAGCGCGGTCGTTGACCCGCGTCACTCGCGCTGCGCCGCCCGCCCAGCGCGCGCTCCCGCCCGGCCTCGTCGTATTTACAAACAATTGTTTTGTCGAAGTGTTCCTTATCGATAACGAGTGTGATAATGATCATTACTAGTAGCGGGGGACTGACAGCCTGACTACTGACTGCTGTCTAGTGTTGCAGAGAGGCGAGGTGCCGCCCTCGCGCCATCTCTGCGTGTTATTATTTCCTTCACTGCCTTGTTGTTGTGATGGCGCCCACTCAGGTGAGAAATATTGCTTTTTTACAATGCTGTATACCATTTTTTTAGTTAAAGCTATTAAAGTGAGCGGTGTAAGTGTAAAGATTATTTAATGGCCTTCTCGTACATCCCACCTCCTTGCCAGCAGAAGCAGGCACTAAGGCACCGTACTGACATGTCGGGTGCCACAGTCCTTGAAAGCGAAGTTTTGTAAAATATATTTACCGTACACACGCACACGCGTAACACGCAGGTTACATTTCAGGACAGAATACATTAAGTATATGAATAACAATAAAAAGATATATCACTTAAAAACTAACAGATGTTATATTTACATGTATTAAACAGAATCAAAATATTAAATATTTGTATAACAAAGGTACCTAGGTGTCGAAGCATTGCTCGCAATGTGTCGCCGTGAGCGCGTACAAATATCCTGTTTAAAACTTAATTTTGTCATAATTTTGTCAATAAACGCTATTTATTGGAAAATGCTACTAGATTTTATTTATAAATTGTATTTTTATTTTTATAGAATCAGGCTTTTTTTACACATTTTTGTTGTCATCCAGAACACCTTTTTAATGAAAGCATTTTTTTATAAAAACTAAGTATAAAAGTATATTTTAAATTATAACATAAAACTTAACTATCGGATTCGTACATAGTCATAATCTGTAAGCACAGTACCCTAATAATGTAGGTGTTGATGAAATGGAATTGGCATTCTGTCTGTCAGCACCTGCGTGTCATGTCGTGGAACTCATTTACTCTTCATTAGGCTGTCGCGGCCGAGGCGGGCTGCGCCCTCTCCGCACACGCCACGCTTAGTGCTTTGCCTAGGTCACCGTGCACACCCTGCGCCGTGTTAGGCCATCACGTTAATATTATAGCTTTTAACAGATTACACAGAAATTAGGCAATTACGCAGATGACGCAACGTGCTGTAGCTTCTGCGTATTCCTATTTTTGTGCAAAAACAAAAGTAAATGTTAGTTAAACTATGGAGAGTTTCTCATTTTTTCTATCTACAGAAATACAGACATAAGGGAATCTTAAAGGGCATTATTTCATACTACTCGTCACTTGGTGGTTGGTTTAAGGACGTGTTGTGGCCGGGTTCAGACATATTTCTTTTTGTAAGCCTGACCTGTAAGTTCTACTTATAACGATAGATACGTACAATTATATTCAGACAATAACAGAAATGTAGTGAACTTGTATTAATTAATTACAGTCCTTAAATATCCGAAACCTTTACCCCTCATATGTCGGCAACGCACTCGTAACTCCTTTGGTGTTACGGGTGTCCATGGGCGGCGATTACTTACCATGAGGTAATCCGTTTGCTCGTTGGCGGACCGAATATTTTTTTTATTAAAATATAAAATATACAACAAGGATATGCCACTGACCCTCCCGTACACTGCTTCCCCAAATTCTACACTCATTATTTGACTTTGTGTTTATAACAATGCGATGAAGATAAAGTCAAATCAGAAGCAATCATCGAACCTTTCTATATTTTCCCCGTGGTCATAGAAAATGCTTGCAATTTCTTTGGAGTTGTATTAATCATAAAGTCCTAATAAAACATACATAATACATTTTGGTAGAGGCTCTGCGAACGAGGATTAGTTGGTATTTGGTAAATGTCGTGCCAACTGCCGATTACATTAAAACATAGTACCTACACGCAGCCCACGTGGTTACATTAACTCTACGTTTTACTGAAGTAACCCAGATAGCACTGGAATATAGGAAGGTATCGGTTGTGGTAGCAGCCCGCGTCCTACATACCTACCAATATAGTAAAGAGTTACTATCTGCACCATTTTTAGTTGTAACCCTGTTTGAAAAGTGGTAACTCGTCAATTTACTGTAGCACGCTTTATTAACTTATGCTTGTTACTTAATACTTCATTGATCCCATAGTCAAACCATTACAATAGTTTTGTGGGGCTTAGCTTATAATTAACTTACCATTGTTATATAAAGATAAATAAATAAATGAATATTCTGTTGCCCGACGCTAGTTGACCCGTAGGTTGCTACTTGTATACAGATAGTGTGCACGTTTATATTCAAAGTTTTTATTGCAGACCGTCTAGTGTATGTTTATCCGTTTATTCACCTTGTTCTGAAAGATGTCACGTCTTTATGCATAATGCAGGGCGCGGCGCCCGCCCGCCTAGCAAGTAGCAAGGGCGGCCCCCTCATCCTGTATGTCTTTGATGCTCCCTTCACTGTCTGCTGTCAGTGATGTCCTCATTTATCATGTCAGGCCTCCGCGGGCCCCTCGGACAGGAATATCGCGGGATTTATTGCTACATTCACTTTTTCCTCTAAGATTAAATAAAGTGTGCCTTCACACTGACAAACAATAAACAATTCGTCAAGACTTGTCATAAACCTACCTTGACAATTATTTTGTGTATTAGAGAGAATGGGAGAAAGAATTTATTCGTTGGAATGAAAATATACACTAAAAGTACACACTTAATCTAATATCTATATAAAAATGAAATGCCGAAGGTCAGCTAGTAGAAAATATATTATGAATAATAAAAAATATTAAACAATGAAAAATATACGTTAAAACATTTGTTTAGTGATCAAATTACAACTACGGTTAACGTCCATTATTGCGATTATAAATTGCATTTCCCGTTCGTGTGGCCCAAGCATAACATAGTGTAGGTACTCGTGGCTACAGCTCAAGTTCACGAGATAAGCTGAGCGCGCTGTGATCCGGCCGCGGCTGTCTCTCGCTGATAACTGATAACGTGCACTCGCCTGCACCACATTGTATTGTGCGCGTGTACTGCCATTGAACTTGCTTCTCTGTAGACGACATATCTAGTTTTCAAGGAAATATAATTATGTTTATACTAGAACCGGTCTAACGTGTCTCTACGATACTTCCATTAAGCTAACTACATAATTTGGGTGCGAACTTGTATAGAAAAAAGTTTGTCATTCATTGAATATTATAGGAATAAGAAAAAAAAACATGAGTCGAAGGCGGAAGTAGGAGCATTTCAGGTTGCTAGATACCCAACAAGGAAAAAATGGCCATATACGCAATGCGAATTAACGAAACAAAATCATTGATGCATATGACATCATAAACCTGGGACATGCTAAAACGCAATGTTCAATGTAAGACCACTCAGGTACCAACAGGTGCGCTGGTGCGAGCACTAGAAGTAACAAAACAAGCCCGCGCTATCACAAGAGGCTGGGCGCGCGGCGGCCGCCAGTCAGCTGTTTGTTATCGAGGCGGCGCGACGTGCTGCCGCGCGCTATCACGGCCATCACGCCGACACACGCTCGATGTGATCTGTGGCAGCTTAGTCAAATATTGAACACTTCCCTAGTCACGAGGATCCGTTCTTCCTAGAAACCACAAGCTTCGAGCGACTGTGATAACGTTAAGGTAAATTTATTGTCTGTCTATAAATAGAAAATCATTTTATTACATAGTTTAATTGTATCTATTTATATTATTGCGCGGATTTATTGAGAACATAGGTTTTCCCCAACGAAATAAAATGTTATAAGTACATGATACGAATTTGTCCGGGAAGTAACTATTTGATTGATTTAAAATAATAATTAAATGACGTTTGTTTAATACGGCCTATATTTAATATAAATTATGGCGAATCCTGCTCATATAAAAAACGCGAAAGTTTGTAAGTATAGATAGCTGATTTCTGGATATAAACGTAAACAGTACTGAAGTCTTTTGAATGCAATTTTGCAAGATTATTTATTGTTTGAGATAACCTTAGGGTGAAACACTGGGTAAAATTTAAAATTTAACCCGGAAACGTGACTGAAACCACTGGCAAAAGTAAGAATATAAATGAAACTCTTTATTGATGACAGCAAGTTCAGACATCAATTAAATCAATATCAGATACTTTACTTCTTAGATAACGATAGCAGCGATAGTACATAAGGAGGTGCAACGCCGCGCCATACAATACAGGAGCTAACAATACGCGTGTATGTATCAGTCAGTCAGTTTTCAGTCGATAGCGAGCAGTGAGAGGTCTAATTGCGTGTTGCAGTCATCAGTAGAGAATTCGCCGCGTTATGGCCGGAGCCGGCGGCCGGCGCCCGGAGCCGGTACTAGAATAGAGCACATCAATCTCTTCCGGCAACCGATACGTCTGTACCAGCTGCCACTCAGTCCAGTCATACTGCGACATACATTATATCCAAGCTACGTAAATCATTAAAATATGAACACGGATTGCTGCTTCAAAACCTTTTATATCACTAAAAACATAACATAATTTAAGTATTTTGATAACATGTATACATAGGTAATGAAGATTTGACCACAGTTTAGATATTATTAAGATGGCGATCACTCATGTTATTGGTATTACATGTACTTGCGGTCGTTTACACAAATTATATATCCGTCAGAGAGAACAACACAAATATTCTGTCTGTACTTAAAGATGTACAAACAAAAGAATTGTAAACAAAATGTGGTAATTGTGTTCTATAAACTTTTTATAGAAATGTGGGATAATCTGGTTTATATAGAATAACTCTGTCCCAAAAAACCCGCGTCCTTTTCGTTATATTACACATCGATCTAGAGATTGCTATTTAAGCTCAAGCGTCTTACTTGTAGGCTAATAGCTGAATAATACAGGGTGTCCCGGCCGGTGCTAGACGGGCGCGCGGCGAGCGCTGCTGACTGTAACATGCTAAGATATTCATGAGCAGTACAGCAGCAACACTGGCGGTAATGCTATACAACACGCGTTCTATGGAAGTGGATCGATTGGCCCTGTTATGTACACACTAAACTTATTCATTGATCCACTAAACTAAACTCTATGGAGCACCAGATCACAGGGACTGTGTACTCCTTTTTTATAAGCTTCGAACTCTCCCTGAACTCGTCGAAGTTCAGTCTGCACTTTCGATCGATAATGTTATCAATTTTACTACTGCGATATACTCACATTGACCCACATCGGCTTCAATGGAATGCTTCCATTAACAATATCGTATTCACATTTGCAATTGCTGTAAATTACCTAGTGGCTAGTGGCGCACTATAGTAAATAGTGACGATATAACTTGTGTTTAGTTGTGATACAGCAACTATCTATATCACAGACAACAATTCTCAATAAACAAAAATTTATGGAAATAAAAAAATATTTATTTATGTTGGACGTTCACCAAAAACCCTAAATATCACAAGCTGAATCAACCGGTCTACTGTGGCGGGCCACGTGCGTGTCCTTTATCAGGCACAAGTCAGCACGATAGATACAATAATATCGTAAACTGTTGGTCACTGGTCTATAAATCGCTACAGCGTAAGGCTTTTGTTTGGAACTTGTATTAAACACACTTATTTATCAAAAGCCCTTATCGTGACTACGTAGTTTGTAGTCAAGTTCAATGTTCTAGATAAGACTAGACCTCACCAGTTGCCCTCGTGACGTCACGCAGCCTACTGACCCAGAGAGACACACAAACACCGACCACGTGTTGCTTTTGTTCGGTGCCTGCCCCCTCCAAGCTAGACCAGACTGGGAACAGGTAGCCAGCTACTGATGACTTGATAACCCTGCACCGCTGTAGACCACACTCCAGGAAAAACAAACATTTGTGTCGCGGTATAACGCACTATACTTCGTGGAATGGAGGTCATTGACTAGCTGCACCACATACAGAATTGCGGGTATTTTTTTCCGTTAACTGATTATTTATATCAATAAATGGAATTACCATTTGTTCTGTCATTTATTAAGTGGTTTCGTTCAATCAAATGTGTGCGTTACTAGCTACTAGTGTAGGTGTGCGGTCACACGAGAGTACTATTGCGTCGAATTGTGTCGAATTAATCAACAGATAAGGTAATGACGTGTGCACATATTAAATAACGATAAAACAATCTAACGAGTCCTTTACGTAGTACATATTCGGTCATGTTTTGTTGCAGAAACTAATTAAGATAATGTTTATTTTTTATATACCGATATCATCGATAGATACAGCTTTTAACCTTAAGAGTAAGACGTCGTGCCATATCTGTTTATTTCAATATATTTTGGGACTATGTTAGCTAGGTTAGTTTTCACTTCTACCATTGTCTCGCACTTTCTTTGCAAACAATCATAAACTTCCATAGATTTATCGTCCCACGACCTCCAAACCCACATAATGGCCATCACGGGGCTTCTGTAAACAGACGCTCCTGTAGAGCACAACCACTCGAGTGGTAGTGTGGTGGGGCTCGGGGGCTCTGGGGCGAAGTAATCACTCGGCGGTGACGCACGCGGCGGGTCAACAACTCGCCCCTTGTTTGAATAGGGACTATAACTCCGCGAAATTGCTTCATAACGAAATGTAAAGAACACAATGACATCGGATGCTCCACTACAGAGCAGGAAGGATTATTTATAGAAACATTGTTCACATGGGAGGCGACACCTCTGCAGCGCGGGCTATGGTTCTCATACAAGTTGTGATCAACTGTCTGATTTTAACTTGACAAATAAATTGATACACTTGTTAATTTATGGGACGTGATCACTCATTTGAAAATTAAAATTAATGAACAAACAAGTATTAATACCGACAAAGTGTACCACGGATCAATTTAAACGAATGTAACCAGACTTGAAGAAACCGCACATAATGTTTTATTAAGGAAGTGAGCGAGGAAATCAATCTGCAAAAAATATACCTAATTTATACCTACTCAGACAGACATTTATAGCAATATATTCGCAAAATTATGTTCTAGTCATCACGTTACTCTAAAACTAGTATTTTATGTAAATATGTTGGGAACTCGTTGTCGTCGCGCAGGACTGTCCGGCCAAGCCCAGCTACGCCTAGTTTACTTTCTTGCTTTCTTGCTACGTCTAGATACTACAGACATGTAGAAAAACTGAATTGATATACATATGAAGTTAACAAAGAATATTTAAGCGAGTCACCTTACCTACACCTTACTAAAATTAGATTAGCAAGTTTTGTGTTTACAGAACATGTTATGGAATGTTCCAAATGTAATAGATTCCCGAAACCAATTACTTAGCTATTGCGTGGCGGCTGTTTGTGCACCGACACCCCCTCACAAGTTGCAGGGAGCCGACCACCGACTATATCATTCATTGAAATAATATGAGCGGCTATAAAAGGTGATTGTTTTGTCCATAAGTCGGCAAGTGGCACACCATAGTTCAACACCCCGCTGTGGGGCGGCGGCGGCGGCGGCGGGGTGCGATGTACCGACCTCATAAAAACGTAATTAATTAGTGGAGCGCACTCAAGGCGATACCATTCCTACTTTTGTTGTGTGATTAAGATAACAATCTTATGTTACTTTTGGGTCACACGGACACAATGTATGTGTATCATTTACTTAATTAGCAACACCTGGGACATCCTCATGGGCCTCGGCTAATTGAATGCAAACAGATATAATCAGCAATACCTAAATGTAAAAATATTTTAAATGATTGTGAATAATGACAAGTGGTTTATTGAATAGAATTATTATTGCGTGACATTTATTTCGCTGGGGTTATCTGGATACACAAATATTTTCATTTTGTCGCATATTTTATAGAAGTCATAAGCTGAAGTATGATAAGTAGTCCACTAGTAGCATGCGTGCAATATTAATTAATTTTATTTCGCGACAAATGCATTTTTTGGGTTCATTGATATTGTTAAAATATTACTTTTCATGATATACTTTTTAATGCATTAGTTAATATACTTTATGATTTATGTATATGATGGACTGTGGTTTGTAACTAAACGTTTTCCTTTATGAACGTTAAATGTAGAGTTTACGATTTATCGCTTGCAAAATGTTTGATCGAGTGATATATTGGAGCGCATTTAGTAAACGACCAGAGAGTAGCGCCGGCCGCGGCACCACATGGCCGGCGGCGGCGACCTCACCGCGACCCTGGTCATTAGCTGCTAACTGTTACTCATCCACTGAAAATATTTCATAGTTTATACTCTCGATATAATAACATCGCAAATGCAACCTGACCCTGAAGTATTCACGATTTCGTAGTTGTGTAAATCGTAATGAAATGTTGTTTTTTATAGAGAAATAAGGTCTAGGTTTTATGATAGACGTTGTTTACTGGGATTATACAAACATTTTGCTAACTCGAATAACTGCGGCAGATGTAAACATTGTTAAACATTTGTTTAGTCTTCAGTTTCCTACGAACACGTGCATTGCAGATGATTAAAAATAATGTGCAAAGCTGTGCACCGAATGATGACACGCCGCGGCGCGGAGTTCTATGTGAACAACGAAACAGCTGGGTATGTGCAGCGTTGTTACAATTGCTGTTTGCCTAACGTTCTTCAGACATAGACAAATGACTAATTTTTACGATGCGCCTGCGTCTCTGACCT